TGAATATATACTCAGGATTCGTATTCAGGTCTGTGTTTCAGCAGTTATGGGTTGCTCACTTAGTTAGGCCCTGTTGGTCTCTGCACGTGATTCTCAGGGCGTGGCGGCAGTACTCACCAAATGTGCAGAATTAGAATGAATCTTCTGCTAGAACGTGGAATAATGCTCCGCCATATGTTTTGTCTTTTGTGCATGTGGTGAGTAGAGGCCCTTAGGGCCACTGCAAATGTGCAGAATTAGAATGAATCTTCTGCTAGAATGTGGAATAATACGACGCCACATGTTTTGTCTTTTGTGCACGTGGTGAGTAGAGGCCCTTAGGGCCACTGCACGTATTCCTAAGAAAAGAAAAACGAGAAAACGAAAGAAAAACGAGAAAACGAAAGAAAAACGAGAAAACAGAGAATTAGTGACCCATAACTGTGATGCCTAGACCTGAATTCGAATCCAGACTATATATTATTGGCCCACGCAGACGAACTGGAAGTCTAATGTCTATCTCTGCTCCACGAGGGATCCTTGCTAATTCGTAGGGGCCCTTCGGAAATGAGACACACACATGTGCTCACAGTGTTGGGGTATGGGGTGGCCCCAACTTTTTTCCCTCTTGCAGTTTGATTTTCAGAAGCGAGGGGCATATTTGGCCACCCCACCCTGTCCTTTCAATTTCTTTTTTCCTTTTTTTTTTGGGTGATGCGCCACATCACGTGCATGCGCGTGCGCTCTGCGCCGCATGTGCCGCGCCCCCGCGCACGGGATGCGCCACAAGTATGGTGTAGACCCATAACCTTAGCATAGTCAAGGCTAGGTTCGTATATCTAAAGTACCTCTGTCTGATGTACGGTAGGTGCTTCACCTATTATCTGTCTTGTAGGGCTTGTGTGTGGGGCATAGATATGTGGGTAGCTAGCACGAGGCAAGAGATTAGAAAATAGGATAGGTAACAATACAACTGTCCCCCATATGAGGAGAAGGCAGCCATATTTTTTATGAGGGAAAAAAAAGAAACATACAAACTCAGAGGACTCGGACAAATGCGAACATACTGAAATAGTGAGTTCATGTAAATCTTGAATGCACAGGGTTTCTTTATTTATGCCATCTGGCATGTTGGAGTACTGGAGTATGAACTTGAGACTTTGTTGCGTCTCCAAGTTTTCCAAAATTTCAGAATGTCTACCTCAGCTTTGTCAGTGTTAAGGGCTAAACATCCACAGGACTACGCCAAGGTCTTTGTACCACGTCCGGACTGTATGGCCCTGCATGTACCTGTAGTTTGCAGAGGGCATGCACAGGCCTGTCGGCAGCAGGCTCAAATCTACGGGCTTTGGGGTCTAATTTCTCTGTGGGGTATGTTTAGATCCTGGTTTCAATTTCTCCCCTCCCTCCCCCCCGCCCCCCCCTTTGTTTTTTGTTTTAAACCACCAGTACTTGGCCCAGCTATCAAGTCTGAGCCTCCAGTGACCGTTATGTCGAGCCTGCCAAGCCTGGCAGTACCAGTAGCTGGACGGGCCGAGGCTGGGGGGACCAGTTGGAAAACGAAAACAGCAAAAAAAAAAAAAAAAAACCCAACGCTGTGGATGTGAATGCAGTTGGATGCATTCTCCTGAGTGCTAATGTGAGCATTTCGCAGTTTGTGTGCATCAGCCCTGTGGCGTTTCCGTCAAGAGTCCAAAAGTAAAAATAAGGGGAAAAAAAAAAGAAATGAATCTCAAAGAAGAAAAAAAAACGGAACATGAATTTGACCCTGAAATTAGTTAGATATATTTGTCTATGTGCAAGTGTGACTATGCCCTCAACGAGGGCTGTTCCGTAGATCACGGGATATGCCCTGCCTCGCTGGCAGGGGAATCTAAGAAAAATGAAAAAAAAAAACAAAAGCAGAAAAAATAGACATCCAGAATCTACCTGAAATACTAGTTAGAAGCTTTCCACCAAGAACAGACGTGACCACGGCCCCCGCCCGAGTTAGAAAGTAGTTCTTTGTTTTTTTTTTTGGTTCTTTCTTTTCTACGTCACAATTTTCAGCAACCGACCGTTCATGTGAACGACCCCCCTCAAATGCGGCGTGCTAACAGGACACCCCCGCGGCCCATAGCTGGGCCAAGTACTGGTGGTTTAACCACGTCCCTTCTATTCTGGGGGGCAACAGTCCGGTTGCTTATTACCGGCAAGCATGTTTTTA